CAAGCTTAAGTTAATCAGCACTGCCCTCCTCCCAATCTTTTGATAAAGTGACATTTTAAATTCTTTTATAAAAGTTATGTAAATGAAGAGGCAAGAGATAACTCCTTTTCTTCACTCTCCATCAACCACTTTGCATCCCCTAAGGCTCCTTCAAAATGGAAATTGTGACTGGTAATGTCAGACTCAGAATTATTTATTGCCTTCCAAATGAGTTTTCTCTATAGCTTTCTGACTCTGGCTTTGTGACTCAGTGGTGCAGTTATAGATTACCAGGGAGAAACCTGAGTTACCCTTTGGTTAAATATCCACCTCATTTGGTGTAGTTATGAGCTCTAGATATGGTCATCTAATCATCCCCCTGCAGCAAAGGTAGTGGAAATCATTTCCAGAGAAGCGGGCATGGGCAGGTAGGGACTGAGGGAAAAGTTGAATACCCTTCTATTCCCGACTTCTGGTCTCATCCATTTATGGGCCGATCCTCAGACCTGGGGTCTCATCAAGGATTTTTTATTTTTTAATATTTATTTATTTTTTGGAGAGTGCAAGCAGGGGAGGGGCAGAGAGAGGGGGACAGAGGATCTGAAGTGGGCTCTGCCCTGACAGGCTGACAGCAGCGAGCCTGATACGGGGCTCGAAAACCTCTAGATCCTGACCTGAGCTGAAGTTGGATGCTCAACCTACTGAGCACCCAGGTGCCCCTCATCAAGGACATTTAATTACTGTTGGAGAAGGCTTCAGGGTATGCCCTATGAACCTAGAGTCTTGCAGGAATGAGTCAGAAGTGATTTGGAACTGACTCAGAAAGAGATCAGCATCAAGTTTTTAGGAAGAGAAAGTGTCCTTTATTGAGGTGAAATGTCTCTTGTCAGGTATTCTGTGAGGACAAATGGTGGCATATTGGCTGAGCTATTTAAGAAAACTGGTGTTAGATATTTGGGTATTCAGGCCAAGATTGTATGCATTTACTTATTTATTTAGTTAGTTAGTTAGTTCTTTAGTCTCTCCATCTGAGTGTTTGATCAGAGGCCTGAAAGTTTTTGATCTTCCTTTCTAGATTCCCTGCAGAGTAAAGCTGCTTCTTTTTTTTAAGTGTATTTATTTATTTTGAGAGGGAGAGAGCACACGATCAGGGGAGGGGCAGAGAGGGAGGAGAGAGAGAATCCCAAGCAACTATCAGCGTGGAGCCCATTGCGGGGTTCGAACTCACGAACTGTGAGATCATGACCTGAGCCGAAACCAAGAGTTGGACGCCCAACCAACTGAGCCACCCATGTGCCCCCAGAGTATAAAGCTTCTTAATTTTTTCACCTAAGAATTCTTGGTGCTTATCAGTGTTACATGGATTGAAGAAGGTCTGAAGAGAAGAAACTCGTGTTCATGTGACTGTTTTCAGTTTTAGTAAAGTATTCATTGAAGAAAAATTGAATTTATTAGATAAAATGATAGTCTATTTCTGTTACTTGGGAAACTCTGGGCCACCAGGGCCATAGATTATTTTGAGTTGTTTATGCTTTCTTTGTCCCTATGCTGATTTGGGACCTTGATGGACAGAGAGGTACTATTAGAGGTAGTAGATTGCGAACTGGCCTCTGTTCAGTCATCTTTCTATATTTAGAATTGACAGCTACCACCCTGTTTCCCACTTGTAACACTTCTCACTTTCCTTTTATATACATATATACACACACACACACACGCGCACACACATTTTATTAATATGCTATATTTGTTAGAGCAGTTTTAGGGTTGTAGAAAAATGAGTGAAAAAGTAGAGTCCCTGTATATCCCCACACTCCCACCTCTACCCTCAGTTTCCCCTGTTGTTAATATCTTGATTCAGTGTGGTACTTTGTTTCAGTTGCTGAGCCAATATGATAGCTTATTATTCTTTTTTAAAGATTATTTATTCTGAGAGAGAAAGAGTGCAAGCAGGGAGGAGCAGAGAGACGGAGAGACAGAATTGCAAGCAGGCTCTGCCCTGTCAGTGCAGAGCCCAATGCAGGGCTCAAACTTAGGAACTGTGAGATCATGACCTGAGCTGAGATGAAGTGTCAGATGCTTAACTGACTGAACTATCCAGGTGCCCCAATATATTGGATAGTTTATTTTTAACTCATGTTTATGGTTTTCTAATTTACATTAGGGTTCATTCTTTGTGTCGTACCTTCTGTGGGTTTTGACAAAAGTATGATGACCTATATCCATCATTATGGTATCATATAGAATGGTTTCCCTGCCTTAAAAATCCCCTGTGCTCCACCCATTCATCTCTCCCCCAGCCTCTGGCAACCATTGATTGTTTCACTGTCTCTATAATTTTTGCCTTCTTTAGAATGCCTTATAGTTGGAATCATATAGTATGTAGCCTTGTCAGATTGGCTTTTTTTTTTTAATTTTTTTTCAAGTTTTATTTATTTTTGAGAGAGAGAGGGAGACACAGAATCTGAAGCAGGCTCCAGGCTGTGAGCTATCAGCACAGAGCCCAATGCGGGGCTCGAACTCACAGACTGTGAGACCATGACCTGAGCTGAAGTCAGACGCTTAACTGACGAAGCCACCCAGGCGCCCCTCAGATTGGCTTCTTTCACTTAGCAATATGCATTTTGAAGATCCTTCTTGTTTTTTTGTGCCTTAATAGCTCATTTCTTTTTATTGCTGGATAATATTCCATTGTATGGATGTACCACATTTTGATTATCCATTGGCCCATTGAAGGACATCTTGGCTGCTTCCAAGACTTGGTAGTTATGAATCAAGCTGCCATAAACATTTGTGTGCAGGCTTTTGTGTGGAGGTAAGTTTTCAGCTTATTTGGGTAGAGACCAAGGAGCACGATTGCTGGATCTTAAGGCAGAGTAGTATGTTTAGTGTGTGAAGAACCTGGCAAACTGTTTTCAAGGTGTGTGTACCATTTACATTCCCAGTAGTACTGGGTGAGAGGCACTGATGCTCCATGTACTCACCAGCATTTGATCCATAATTTATTTTGAGTTATCTGTGCCTCATCTGCTCCTACCCTGATTTGGGACCTTGATGAGCAAAGAGGGACTTGGTGTAGTAGTAGTAATAGGTTGTGAACTGGCTTGTGTTTAAGTCATCTTTCTGTATTTAGAATTGACAGCTACCTCCATTTCCCATTTATGACACTTCTTTTCTTTTCATTTTGTTTTATTTTTTATATGTTTTTATATGTTTATTTTTGAGAGAGAGACAGACAGACACACACACACACACACACACACACA